TGCTGCCAAGCCTGATAACCTGAGTTTGAACCTTGAGACCTACATTGAAGAAAGAACTAACTCCACATGTTGCACCATAGTTAAAATATTAACTATATGAGTAAATAACTAAATATATTATATATTAAATGTATGAAGGCTCTGTTCTAATTTTAGAGAAGCATTCTCATTTTTCAATACTCAAGCAGTTGTTGAAACTTAGCACTTCATTATTTTATTAGCAGTGACACAGGGGAACATTTTATGATTTACTAAGATATAAATTTATGTATGTTTCAGTTCTATAATGTCAACCTAAAGGCTTGGAGTGGCTCCATATTTCATATGTACTTGAACTCAATGAGTCAACAACAGGATTAATTATCCCTCTGTTCTCTTCCAAGCCTATTCATTCTCCAGTGCCCTGGCCCAGTAAATAATACCACCTTCCAGTATTCCAGATTCAATGACTCAGTTTCCAGTTACACTGTGACAAAGCTCTGATCCTTCAGTATCCTCAGTAGACTCATGACTCTGACCTTCTCCCCATTTGTAGATTGCTGCACCAGTATGGTATGCCAGTTGTCTTGCATGAATGATATCAAAAACCTCCAATTCTGATTCTACAAACACATTTAAACCTTCAACCTGTAATGTTCATTTCTGTCTATGTCACGATTCACAAATGCAAACTCATCCTCTAGGCTAATTAATAATGCCTACAATAAGGGGTTGGCACTTCCCACATCAACTGCCTTAATTAAAACAGTTTCCTCTCACACATTCCCAGAGCCCAACACAATATAGACAACCCATTCATGGAGACTCTCACCCAAGGTGATTCTAGGATGTATCAAGTTGACAATTAGGTTGTATCAAGCTGACAATAACAAGTAACAATTCCATGACACATCAATTCTCTTTCCTGTATTTACCTGAGTGGAATTATTTCTTTTATCTGAAATCTCCTCCAAACTTACTCTGTAAAAATACATATTAATTTCAAAATATACTATTATCAACCTCATTTATTAACCTTAATATTTGCCCTTCATATTTGTAAGCTATAGAATTTCACAAGCTACACTGCTTTGCATTGATGACTACAATGTGTTTCAACATTGCACTACCTATCTTACTTACTAAAATCTTACTTACTAAAATACACACTATCTTAGGATTTCGCTATATACTCAATATATAGTAAAGTTCTCTCCTAGAAAAAAAAATGTCAGTATGTACTTACTTGTGAATAGACACAGGATCTAAGTGTGTGTGAAGAGCTCTAACTTTGGAAAGTGATGTCATTCACTTTAGATCTTGGTCTAACATGTGCTGTCTGATCTTGGACAAAGTTCTTGATTTGTCTGTGGTCCACTTTCTTCCATGCCAGATGTAAGGCACTTTGATATATACTGATCTTGAATGAATAGTACAGACAAAGCCTGTCCATGAACAAGGTTATGTGGGCGCATTTTGGGAAGAAGCAATCAAAAGAGGATTGTTTCATTGGACATGGATGGGCATCCCATGGCTGTTATCTGGGAGAGAGACTGCCTTCACCCCAAAATCTATTGTTTCATATTTACAGATATTGCAGAAGAATGACCTCCTATTTCTAGAGAAAATTCAGCCCGATCTTGTCTACATCACTCAAAAGGATGGCAAACAAAATCAAAGAGCTGGGTGTTTATGCTGAAAATATCCAAGCCCTTCCATTCATGAGTGGAGAAAGCCAATGGTCCCAACTATTTCTATACCCAGTGACTGAAAGCAAGTCCATGGCTCATTAGGTAGAAAATTCTGCTTGTCTCCTTCTATTTCTTCATAAAATGGTGATATTCATGTACCTCCTCCTATGTGCTGTTCAAAATAAATGAGAAAATACAAACAAATAATCCTCTTTTGCTCATAATAACTATTCAATACTTGTTGGCTTTATGGTATCATGTGTAATCAATTAATACTCATGTAAAGATGGTGACATAAATTGTAGGAGAATGTGAATGTGATGATTATTCAATTGAGAGATTAAAGTTAATATGATCCAGCTCATTCCTCAAAGTCACTTATATCGAATCCAATTTTAAGTTGGTTTCTGGCTCTCTATGAGAATATCTTTCCATTAAACTTATTATTTTGTATCTTGTAATAATTTAAATCTATGCATCCATCATTTTACACTGGCTCCTGTCACACCATTTTACTCTGTGTATTTGAGTTTGAAATCTACTACTACTTAAATCATGGGTCAGTAAGAAGAGAGCACACATTGGTAGATGGGGAATGTGCTTATCCTCAAAGTATCAAATGCAAGCATAACAAAATGGGTGTTCCAAAGACTTACATGCACAGGACAGTAGAGAGACACTTAGGTTATCCTGAGTCATGTGCATATCAGATGCTAGATTCAATCCCCAGGACTGTAATAATAATAATAATAAATAATAATAATGTTAGAAATAACATGATTGTCCAAGTTCTAGCTTCTAGAACTTGATTGTCATAGGCTATTTTTCAAAGGGTGATTCTTTTTCCATGTCTGAAAATTATGAAATGAGAAACAACATACTCAGAGGCGCTAAGCTGGCCAAGAAAGCCAGCAATCCAGCTGGGCAGATGGTGAGAAGGAAGCTGCCCTAAAACTCAGCTCTGTGATCCAGCAACAGCAGGGAGCAAGAGTGTAAGTCCCGGGCTCTATAAGACTTGGCTGCAAAACCCAGGTTTGCTACTTCCTGCCTGTGCAAGTCAACCATTCCCAGCCTTAGTTCTCATTTATGAAATAGGAAAATGGAAACATTATCTTGTCAAATTTACCTGGGTCTCTTTGAGATGTCATAAACATCTTTGTACAATGTCTATAAGAAGCATTCAATGAACTGGGTAACTCAGTTCATATTCCCAGCACCCACGTGAAAAGTCAGCCACAGTGACACATGCATATAGTCCTAAGTCTGAGAAGGCAGATATGGAAGGATCCCTATGGGCTCCTGCAAAGATAGTCTAGTTGAATCAGTGAACTCCAGGTTCGGTGAAAGACTAGTCTCAAAAAAAAAAAAAAAAAAAAAAAAAAATAGAGAGAGCAAGAGGGGAAGACCCCTGACTCCACATACATGGACACATGCACCCACATATACACAAGCATGCACAAAAACAAAAACACACACATATGTATCACATACATAAAAAAGTACCCTAATAATATATAGTAACTACTCAGGCAAGTTCTGCTTTTAGAATTAGAAATATTAATGCTATTAATATTGTTGGTGCTGTTGCTAATTGAATTACTCTTCCATCAAACATTCCATCAAACAAAAATTATAATTGTTCTAAGAGCCTGAAGGGAAAAAATGTTGATGGATGATGGCAGTGGGTACTAGGAACATCATTAAAATATATGAGGAGCTCCAGGAGTCTATACAGAATGATCCCTTAGTCCAACACAGTTTTTAAAACTTCATCAGTGGTCTGGAGAGATGGCCTATCAATTAAGAGCACAAACAGTTCTTCCAGAGAAAACAAGTTCAGTTCCCCGAACCTGCATTTGTCAGTTCACAACTCCTTGTAACTAACTCAAGCTCCAGGGATCTGGTGCCCTATTCTGACCCCCCATGAGCACCTTCACATATATACACATACCTACACATAGACACACAATTAAAATAATTATAAAATATCTGTAAAGACTTCATCAAATCATCGGCCATTTTTATGGTACTTGCTTTATTTTTCCTGTTAGTAAAAAGAAGGAGAACCTACCAGGATAGTATCCTAAAGTGATTGAACACATATGAAAGAATAAATCTCCATTGACTAAAAAATAAGCAAATAAATTTTTGCTTGAAGGGTAATGATGTAGTAAAGTTGAACAGTCCCGGGTTTTCATTCTGGAGTTTTCCAACTGTTAATTGTAAGACACTGGGTCAATGCCTGAGTCTCCCAAAACCTCATCTGGTTTGTCTGATTATTATAGACCATGTTAACCAACTCATTGTTCTATAATAACAGAGCTCCTACCAGGGCGGTGTGGCTTGAGGTAGACTATCAATAATTCTTAGGTCCCTTCACCACAAGAACATGTAATAAAATGCCTCATTAGGGAGAGACAGTGAAATCTGTGGTTTCTTCCTTTTTTTATGTGAAGATATTTCAAACACATTTTATATTCTGACAGAGGTCTTGGCTGTCTCTTTTAATATATGCTGAGGGCATGGCACACTTAAAATCAATTCCTTGGCATATTATTTTAATCTAGAGAGAAAAGTACTCAGCTTTCATAACAGCTGGCTGGTCATACTAGATGGACTGTTGCCTCTTTTCTGGAAGTCAGGGAATGGACTTGAAGCTGTTTGCGTACTCAATAATGTGTTTAAGTTTTTTTAAGAAATAGGTACACATAGACAGACACACACACACACACACACACAGAGAGAGAGAGAGAGAGAGAGAGAGAGAGAGAGATGCTTTTGCAAAACTATAAACTGCATTGTGCAATGCCTATAAGAAGCACTCATGGGGCTGGGAGGTAAGTCAGTTGACATCTCCAGCACGCACAGTAAAAGCCAGGCCCAGTGGTACAGCCTTGTAATCCCAGCACTGGGGGCAGGGCTGGATGGGAAACAAAGATGGGCATATCCCTGGATCTCACTGGTCAGCCAGCAGCTGATTCAATAAAATCTAGATCTGTGAGAGGCCCTGCCTCAAAAATAAGGTAAAGAGCAATCACACACACACACACACACTCATACACTCACACACACACACACACACACACACACACACACACTGGGGAGAGAGAGCAGCACACATACACTCTTCATCTCTGAATTAAAATGTTAAAGTTGATTGATCCTGTAAATATTGGCAAGTGTGGTCACAAGAATGGCTTTCACTGAAAACATCCTGGTCTGCTGTCTCTCTTTATACCTACAAAGTTGATTTATTTAAATAGACAGTGTGACTTTTCAAGCATCTCCTTTGACATCTGTTTCAATGTGCTGTGTAAACAAAACACTTACGGTATGTACACCCGAACACCTCAATCCGCATTCCGATTCTGCCCTTGGGGTTCCATTCTAGAGGGATGAAGCGCAGAAACCTGGCTTTGATTGAAGGCTGGAGTCTATAGTACACAACGCTGTCTGCGTTCGAATTTCCGGCAAAACCCTGGAAGAAAAGGGAAAGAAGGGACTCATGGTATCTGGAGATGTCAGTGTCACCTATAATGACTGTCTATGTGCACACCTAGCCTTTCCCTTTTTTCCTGTGAAAAAATGCCACTTTAAAAAAATCAGATGAACAGTTTTGTCTCTCCATCCACAGAGTTGACTGTTACCTACTTTTTTTGTATTAAGAGAGGTTTTAAATTACATCACAGCCATTAAATCAGCTTTCAACTACGATACCCTCAATAAAAATTGCTTCTGCAAAACACAGATTAAATGTACAAGTGTGCGTGCCTGCAGCTGCCAGCACAGCAAAGGCATGGAAAAGCCGAGAAAATAATCTCTCAGTATTGAAAAACTATTACCTGATTCAGCAAAGAAATTGCCCACCTGCATCAGCTATTGCAATTTCTCAGCTCTCTCATTAGCATAAACAAAAGCCTCCCCCAAGTAGGAGCCATGCTTTCTAAAAGGGCTGCTAAGCTTCATCAGCACACAGCCTCAAACATGTCCAGAGCTGTAAAGGGAAAGAGGAAGCAATGAGAATTTGGAAAGACCTGTGATTAGACTTACAGACTCTGGCCCTGGAAAGCTAGAGAGACCTTTGGAATGATGCTAAGCCAGCACAGTCAAATTGCAGATGAGGAAATTAAAGGTCACAAAGGTGGGGGGAAAAAAATCTCTGGAGTCTGCAAAACCATTACACTGAGTGAGCCCATGCTGGTTCCTTCCACAGTATTAGGGCACATTCACATTAGAGCTTGCCTGCAAAAAGATGCAGAACTCAATGTCTTAGCCACTTTTAAAAATATTTTTAAAGATTTATCTTTTTATGTTATATGTATGAGTGCCTGCATGTATGTATGCAAACCATGTACATGCCTAGTGCCTGGTAAGGGCAGAAGAGAGCACCAGATCCTCTGAAACTGGAATTACTACTGTGAGACTTCCTTTGGATGCTGGGAACCCTAGATGGGACATCTGCAAGAGTAGCGAGAACTCTGAACTTCTGAGTAACATCTCTATTCCTGAGCCACTTGTGTCTTCCCTGGCACCCCTATAAAGAAATCGGCATGGAACAGAAGCTTGTTCCACCACTTATATTTCATCTTTGTTTCTTCTGCACCTCTCTCCTCCACCTCTTCTTACCCTTCTCCCTCTTTCTTCTCCTCCTACTTTTTTTTTTAATACCATCACAATTGGTTTACGTAAAAGAGACATGGGAATGTTGCTATTTCAGATGCAGGATCGTGATGACAGGTCTCCCTAATGTTAATCAATATGGGACCAGCTAAGAATGTAAACGTGAAGGCAGCTGGCTCCATTATTATTACACGATACTAGTATCTATAAAAATAAGTTCTAATACTTTATAAAGAAAGAATCACATGTTTAAAAATCAATTTAATTTGATTCTCTTAGCAAGCAGTTCACTTCCTCCTGTTTCGTCAGTATCCCATTCACCCAGTTTTCAGGTGCCATGCTGTGAGCATTTCTGCAGATGTATGATTAGCTACCTATAAATTAAACCTGAAATCTGGGCACCTGTAACCCTTACTCTTAACCATATACTAGACTGGTTTTGGAACCAAGTACAAAAAAACATTTGGGGTATTTCTATGAGTGGATTTCCAAAAAGTAGAACTGACCCTGAATGTGGATGATTCCTCCAATGAGCTGGGATCCTTGACTGAGTATCAATGAGAAATGAGAAAGAAGTCAAGCATTAGTCACTCTCTGCCTCCTGACCATGGCTCTGGCTGCTAAGGCTTCCCCTCCATGGTGGACTCACTCTCAAACCATAAAAACAAAATTAAGCACATCAAGCAGCCAATATAGCATGTCTTACCATCCCCCCTACTATGACACCCAGTTCCACAAGGTATGTTTTCATCAGACCTGTCCTCAAAGCCTGTTTTTAGACCTTCCATTCTTCTGTTTCCTGCCTCATCCACACACCCACTCTCAGTGCTTTCCCCAGCAATCAGCCAGTAAGATTCGGACAGAATTACAGCCCCTCCTCCCCCCTGCTTTCTTTACCTCTCAGACAAAGCCCAAACCTCTCATCAAGTGTGACAACCACAACTGGGGTGTAGCCCCATGGGCTCTCCTTGAAAAGGCCAGACTCAGTCCAGGTTAAGGCCACTGAGTACAACCATATCCTCTTGTCTTGTCAAGTCTTGTCTATGTGGCCTCCAGCTGAGACAGCATCTTCTTGATCACAGCTTCTTGGGTGGTATATGTGGCCCTCCAAAACAGATCTTCCATTCTGCTTTCTTTGTGTTTCTTATCATTTGCAGGAGGGAGGGTCTTCCTTCCCTTTACTATTTTTTGGATTTGTTTATCTTTCCCTACTAGCAGGAGCATTCCACTAAAGCTTGGTCCTTAACCAACCTGCAGCTATAAAAGTGAAATCCCTGCTTGGTTCAAGGTGGCTGTCAGCAAGACAATTACACATTTATGTTTGAGGAAGAGCAGGCTTGAAAACATAATTAAACTAGGCTTCTCAATTACTGGGTATCTCAGAGCATGGCCCAACCTGACAAGACAATGTACTATGTTGATTATGACACAGAATGGTCTAGTATATCTCAGACACACTGGAACACAAAATGATCTTTCCTCACTTCTCATTATCATTGTAGATTACTGCTGCTGTTCTGCAGAGCACCCACCTGGGCTGGTGCAGTTTGCCAGAAGGCAAGTAGAAGAACATAGTTTAACCCTGGACTCTGATCATAAGGACCTTTTAGAAAGTTCCACAGTTTCCTGTTTCATTGGTCAAGATATTTCACTAAGGATTAGGTAAGAAAGATTATCAAACTAGCAAAATCCCCATTTTACCTCATCTCAACACTACAGCAGTTTCCATTTCTGTGTAGGTCATGAGCATCTGCCTGAAAATTGGATGTCCATGTAGTCTAATTTTTCCTTTAGAATGGTCAAGGCAGGGCACATTTCCCAACTTGAACTACATGTTAAAGTTTTCAATGTATATCCCTAGGCATTGGTGTGTGTGTGTGTGTGTGTGTGTGTGTGTGTGTGTGTGTGTGTGTACTCGTGCACACGCCCACATGCATGTGTGTTTATGCACACAAGTACATGCATATTTCACGTAGACCCTAGGTATTGGTTTGAGTGTGTGTGTGAATACATACATATTTTACTGTTGTGGTGATCCCAGGCACTGTTGTGTGTATGTATATGAACACATATATATGCAAGTATCATGAAGATCCTAGGCATTGGTATGTGTATACATGCCTATATATGCATGGGTTATGCAGACCCTAGGCACAGATACATATGCACATTGGTGTAGAAGATCTCCACATTCTCAAGGTACTGTGCAGTCAGGCCTGAGAGCCTGGTCTCCAGATACTGGATTACATGTGCTGTCTATCAGTTTTTCTCATGCCTTTGATTCTAGTTTTTGGGTGCCACTGACAGACTAATGTCATCTGTAAAAATAATCACTTACCAAGTGACCAGGTGGATGATTAATTAAATGACCTTCTAAAAGATACCATATTTTCCCCAAAATTAATAGAATTTTCACACATTTAGATAGATACACTACAATGATCTCAGCTTCTTAGGAAACTGGGAGAAAAAGATTCTCATATTAACAGTGATAACAGTTGGGGTAAATGACATGGGAATTTATGTGGATGGCAATGTTTGTTTGTTTGTTTACCTGATTGACTTATAGGTTATTTAAATTTTTAAACATAAAGTGTAAATATAAAATATATAAATATATACCATTTGCATAAGTAACTTCCCTGGCATAGTAAAAATTTTAGTAGTTCTCTCTTACAAAATGATGAGGATGAAGATAGTGAAACCTGGGATTTTTCAGTAAGGTGGCATTCTTTTTATAAATATTTTTTAAAAATTAAGACAGTGCTATAGGAAATGCAGGCAGCAGCGTGACCAGCAGAAGTATCATTTAGGAACACTTGGGGACCTTAAAATTTGTTCCACTGCAAGGTCATGTGTAAAATATCACATTACTATTTCTCACATCAAAAACAGATTGACAGCATTTGCTTTCTGTTACCTTTTTGAAACACTCAAATAACCAAGATTCAGTATTAGATTCAATGCTTATAGAGAAAGTTTTCAGACCACCTGTGGGAGTGCATGATTGACCCTGTATTACCTTATAAATGAAAGTTTCAAGGCCCATTGTCAGGTGTTAAACCCATCTACTTTGTCTAGGAGATGCCCTTCAATCTGTTATGAGGGAAAAAAAACCTTTTTTTATATACTATCAAAATTCCTTAAAATAAACACAGAGATTTCTTTGTTGGCTTTGGTTTCCTCTTTGAGAAGGACCAGGGCTCACTTGTAGCTAAGGCTGGCCTCAAACTCAGTATCCTCCTGCCTCAGCCTCCAGGTACTGGGATCCAGCTGCTAGCAAGAAATACTTGAATTAAAATGTCTTTCTCTCTCTCTTTTCCAGGTTTTATTTTTTTTTTAAATTTTGAGGTTGTATATTAGTTACATTCTCTCTTCTCTTTCCTTCTTCAAAAAAAAAAAAAAAAACTATGCATTGCATGAGCAAATTTATTTGCTCCTTTCAAGAGTGCTCAGTGCTTGAACACTTGTTCCCCAGCTCCAGCTGTTCCATACAGTAAAAGGTTTTAGGGCTGGGGACTCCCTGCAGGAAGTGGCTGTACCTTCTCTCTGGTCAGCTGAGATGTGAACAAGCAGTTGCCATTGGCTCCACCTGCCTGGAGCATGGCTTCCCCTGGTTACTGCCATATCCTCTGAATCATAAGCCAAATGAAATCTGCCCCCCCCCCTTAGAGTTACCTCTTGGCAGGAGTTTGATCACAGTGACGAGAAGCAGCTAATGTTTTGCCAAGCTGAGTCTGAGTCTCTGGTCTCCCACCTTCTCAGTACAGAGGGAAGTCCTGCCTTTCTCCCTCCCCATTTTATCTCACAAGTTTTTCAGAGAATAACGAGAATTTAAGAAGGTTCCATGAGGGTTAA